CTTTGATGAATGGAAAGGCTCATGAAATCTTATCAGAGAAGTACAATATTTAGAAGATATACTTTTCCATAGCATGAATATGTGTATTAACTGCTCCTAATTATAAAAGTCTCTTTAGGAAGGTTCTAAAAGCATAGGGCTATTTGAATTGTATAATCCATTGTGTTGTTAAACTTTTCACTTATAACTTACTCTTTATGCTAATTTCTTTCTCCAGAGATCCCCAGACTGTGTTGTTGTATCAATTTAATACCATACCTCCATGTTCTGAGTGTTTAATATTTTTTCTAAAAAGAGTTATTTTTTACTCCCTAATAATTAGAATTCAGGTAAAGACACACAAATGTGTCCGAGTGTTTGTGTGTGCATGCCCATAAATTTTCCTGGTCCCTCTTGCCATCACTGTGCTTCTCAGCCCTAAGCAAGGGTTTCAGCTTTTGCTTCTACTTCTCATGGGTTCTAAAACCTTGTCTCCTCATCACTATGGACTTACTGGGAGATGGAGGTTGGTGCCTCACCCATTGCCTCAGAGCAATGGGGAAACTGCTTGGGAGCTTACTAACCAAGTTGCCCAATTTCTAATAACTTTTGGTGTCTGGATATTTGCATCTTATCCCCATGAGTTGTGTAGCTAATCCTGAATCTCTAAACCTTTGTAGTAAGAAGGCTTTCATGTTATCCTATCTGTGATACTGGTGGAGCCATAAGATTTAAATTCAGGTTTCAACCCTCCTAGATTCTGTGTTTGGGTAATAAGCTACATGAATTCCATGCATAAAGATTCTGGGATTCAGTGCTTCTCTCTCTTGGGGAATATTTCCTTTAGCCCCATTCTCCTTTTGGCTAGGATTCCAATACTTGTGTCTTGCCTTTAAACATAACATAGACATATTTTTTCTAAACATATATCTGTACAGTATATTAAAATTCATGTAGTTGTGGTGAGGCATGATTTGACCATGCAAAGGATGCCCCTCCTCCCATATTCATGATCCTGTCCTCTGCTAGAACCTTAAAGTTGTTCCACAATCCCACATTTCCTTCTGAGTCATCGTTCCCATCCCATGGCTATTTTAAAATCTTTCCATTCTCCTTGCCCCTGCCCCCACCCCATGCCCTCCTTACAGAAGATAACCTGCCATCTACTTCCTAAAGGAAACAGAGATCATGAGAACAGCCTTGTCAAGTTCAATATGCCTGATTTATAAAAAGGTTCCTATCGGAAAATGTCCCCATTTCCCTTCTTACTCCAAGGAAGGGAATGTTCTGTCCCTAAGGAGAGCAGCTGTATAATGTATCATGGAAGCCTAGACACTTCAGAAAGTAAAAGCAAGATTCTATTAATAATTATTCCAGGACAACAGGTGCCAACCAGAACTGTCCTGGGAAAAACAGGACATGTGGCCATATAAAGTTTGTAACTCCACCTGAACCCTGGATGCAATCCCTGTGTGTGCCAAAGTACTATGTTCCTTTGACAGTGTCTCTCTCCTCTGTAGGGTCATTTCCCTTCTAATGACATTTTAACATGGTCAGTCTTTTTAGCCACTCCTTTTTTTGGCTCCTTGCCTCTTTTGGCCAAGCTCTTTGAAAAGCTTGTGCCCCCCTCTGCTTTTTTTCTCTGCATTTGCAAGATTCTGGATTCTTCTTCTCTTACTTCCATCCTGACACTACCCTAGACAATGTCATGGAGAACCGTCCTGTTCCTTAGTAGAGGAGACAGCAATCAGTATGTCTCAATTTCTTAGATACCTCCATCTATGTGGCCCTATGTAATAAGCCACATTCACTGTTCTTTGGTTTCCTAAAATGGCACAGTATAGGACCTTCCTGTTTTGACAAGTACTCTGAGTGACAAGTATACAAGGTCCTCTATGTAAACTATTTAGATAAATAGTACATTTTAACATTCTAGCTATCCATCCCCTTTGAAAGACATACACGCTGGACCAGCTTGTGTTTCATCAGGAATCTGTATGTCACATATGGTGTCTTTTGACATAAGACAGGAAAGCAAAATTGTGATTTGAGTGAAAATGACCACATATGTTTGAATATGTGGTCCCCAGTTGATAGAACAGTTTGGGAAGGATTAAGAGGTATGGCCCTGTTGGAGGAGTTGTGTTGTTAAGGGTTAGGTTTTGAGATTTCATTCCCAGGGTGCCTTCTCTGCCTCCTGCTTGTAAATAAAGATGTGGGCTCTCAGCTCTTTTGCGCAGCCATGCCTTTGCTTCATCATCATAGACTCCAACCCTCTGAAACTGTAAACCAAATCAAATGCTTTCTTTTATGAGTTGCTTTGGTCATGGTGTTTTGTCATAGCAACACTAGAGTATCTAATAGAGGTAGACTCTCCTTGTCCTGTCACTTTAGAGACCTCAGGCCTGAAGATGGTAATTTAGAAAGAGAGTTTTACATCCCATGTGACAGGGTATTTCTTTCGTATTTGGTATGGCCGCTAAGATGTACTTAGTATACTATACACAGTGTGGTGACATGCCTGGCATACCTTTTCTTGCTAGAGGCTAGGAGTGGTATGCTCATCTGTAGCTAGCATAAAACAGTCTCCAATAGCAGTGTGGAGTTATGCTTCAAAATAGCAAGCCCATAACTAACATGAAGTTATTAAGTGGTGGATACATACATTTATCAGTACCAACTGAACATGGCCCAGCCTTGCCTTTGGCCCTCACCTCTTCAGGACCAGCAGGCATTTGCAGGTATTTTGAGGCATCTCCCAATCATTTTGCTATCACTTTTCTAAGCATTTTGAATTGTAGGTTGAACTGAACTGACTCTTCTTCGAATAGGTTCTTTCTGAATTGTAACTTGTGTGTATGCCCAGCTCTTTGTGCAAAAGGAAATCAGCTTCAACTTTCAGGAACTTCCTGAGTCAAAACAAATTTGCTCTCTCTCTCTCTCTCTCTCTCTCTCTCTCTCTCTCTCTCTCTCTCCCTCTCCCTCTTCCTTTCCCTATCTCTGTGTGTGTGTTCATGTCTTAATGGCGATAAGATTATAACAGATATCATTTATGCCATGCTTATTATGCTCTAGTAAAAGTATGTCACATTTGGGGCTATTTTGATCAGAAGTAGAGGAAGCAGAATAGACAGGAGCTAAAATGATCTTCTTACCAACTGTTAGAGAAGCTTCAAGTGTTAGTATGAACTCTCAGCCATAACAAACTTCTATAAACCCTCTAGTGTGTGTTAACAGCCAAGGCAACAAGCTTCATCATTTCAGTGTTAGGAAGACAGAAGCTGTGTCCCATCTTTTTGATTTACAATTAAGTGGCAAGGAAAGAGAAGACCATGTAAATGGGCTCCAATGAATTAGTATTGGTGATAACTTTTTCTAAGCCAATTTGAAGTAAATTGTTTTAATAGTTGGGAAAATGGGAATCTTAAGTTTGATGGATTGATAAGGGGGTCATTTTTGGAATTTTATGTGAATGGATAGCATTTACTCTACACCATTCTACCGAACATTCAAAGCAATCCTGAATCTAGGCAGGAATTCAGTGAGTCTGAGGTAGGTTTCTGAATACAGGTATATATTTATTTAGATTTCATTGTAAAAATTTCAATTGTATTCTAATTCTGATAATTTAGAAGATATTGAACTATACTAACTATATTGAGAACTATACTAATACATATCTATAATATATTTTCGTATCTAAGATATATGATATATGAACATATATATATATATATATATATATATATATGAATATATATATAGTTTTCCATTTTCTAATGGAAGTTTTATGAGCAGTTGATGCGATGACACCATAAAAATGTTGCTTTACCTAGAGGCAGCTATGGAAAAGGAGGTCATTAAAACTGTGAGGGAAAGGACATGGGCTACTCAGGAAATAAAAATAACTTTAATAAAAGCCTGAGTCAGAATGGAAATTGCAGGAAAGGACAGATTTTGGCTAGAGAAGAATGGGGTGGCTCAGAGATCTGGGATCCATCAAAATCTTTGGTGATTTAATCACTATTTCTGTTTGTATGTCTAGTCCAACATTTCAGAAAAGGAAAATAAAGCAGAGAAACCTGTAACCATTGTCTGTGAAATACATTCAAGGCCAGAGTGGGAGATATAATCAATTGCTTATTAATTCCTTAAACTTGATTTTACAGAGGAGAAAAAAGTCAGAGCTCTTGAATCCATGGCTCCAAATAGGAAGAGTTAGGAAGGATTTCACATGTTAGGTGCTGACATGGTACGGGTCTCCTGGCAATTCCTTCCTGCTGGCCCTATTTATTGAAAATAGTTTCTTTTTTACCTCACATAATACATCTTGATTACAGTTCCCCTTCCCTGTACTCCTCCCATTCCTCCTCCCCTCCCCTCCCATCTGGATCCTAGTTCTTATTTTTAAACCAAATGTGATAAAAAGTTTAGGTAAAGAACCAAATGGTTAGGGAATAGAACACTAAAATTTCTTTGGATTCTGATTTCTCAGTAAAGATCTTTCTCGTCAGCTTATTGGATTAACTCATATGAGAATAAAATCTCTCTGACAAATAATTGCTATGTTCAAATCATTGCTACATGATTCACAGAATTAGAACCATGTTTTGTATGTTTGATTCATTATCTTATTTTCTCATATTTTGTAAAGCTATAATTTGAAAAAGATTTTTACATCTTCTAATCTTCTTTAGAAATCAATCCAAATGCATCAAAGGACAAAATTACTGTCTCCAAACTTACAAATAAGAAAATTACCCAAGCCAAAAAGACACACTAAAATGGTGCCATATTGTTTTATCATTATCACAAATTGTGTTTGCTGCAATGGTCAAACTATCAGCAATGAGGGCAATAGACAGAATCTGGTCTTTTATACTAGGGATTTGTTTTCTGACTTCTTTGTTTTCATGGCCTTGCCCTCAGAGCTAAGGAACCACAGCTTTCTACATCCCATCTTTCCCAGTCCAAAGCACAGCCATCTCAGCAGACTGTGACGGATGCATGCTGCCTCTTACCCTCAACTTCCAGCTTCACCAGTTTGGAATAAGCTGTGCCCAGGCTGTTTTTTGCCACACATCGGTACTGTCCTGCATCTTCCTTTTGTACATTATGGATCCTTAAGCTCCCCGATTCAAGAACTGCAATGCGGGAATTTTCCTGCCAAAGACAGGAACATGGGTTTGAAAACAGCCTTAGTTAAAGACACACTTGCCTTATTTCATTGATTTATCACTGTCCTTAGCACCCAAGATATCAGCCTCTATCCTATCTATGAGTATCAACATATATTGCTGAGACCATGCAAGACAATCTAAATTAATCTTGGTGATCTCATGAGATTGCATCTATTCTTTTTTCCCCTCCTGTCATTAAAATACAACACGAATCATGAGTTCCAAAAGTCATTCTTGTGCCAGTTTGATTAAAAGCATTGTGCTTTGAGCCTGGAGTGTAGCTCAGTAATAGAAAAAGTGATTAGCTTACACACAACCCTGATTTCACCACCAGAATAAAACACAAAGAAAGGCAAAAATGTAAAATCATTGATTTCAGTTAACCACACTTTACCATATACCCTTAGGATAGCCTTAGGAGAATACACATTCTTTGAGAGTTTTAAAATTACTCTTTGGAGTTCAGATGTGACATTTCTCTAATCTTTTTGAATTCATGTAACTTGAGTAAGGTGCACAGTCAGTCATCTTTGTTTTTTATTGTAGAAAATGCATCAAGAGTTATAGCAAAAGGCAAGCCAGGGTGTGTAAATGTTGTCATTAAAGTTGGGCAAAACTCATCAGATTTTAGTTTACTTCAGTTGTTTGACATGCCCTGATAAGTATTTCCCATGGGGTGTGCATGGCCTGGCAAGATGGGAACACAGTCTGTAATCTCATTTTTAGGTGTGACAAAGTTGTGGATATGATCATGACACAGAATAACAATTTATTAGTAAGCATGGGGACAATACACAGAAGTAGCACAAGCTAAGCCAATGAATAGTACACCTTTTGTAAGTGTGTGTGTGTGTGTGTGTGTGTGTGTGTGTGTGTGTGTGTGTTATCTACATGCCTGTGTGGGTGTGTGCATCCATGTGCATGTATGTGACAAGATGTGGACTTTGGATGTCCTGGTCTATTTGTTCTCTATTTTATTACCTTGAGCCAAGATCTTCACTGGAGGCCAGCAAGCTCCACAATCTTCCTGTCTTCTCCTCCCAAAGCACCAGGCTTACAGACACACATAAATGTGCATGCATATGAGCTCAGGTTCTCATGCACAGCAAGCACTCTGCCCCATAAAATCATCTCTCAAGCCCAAATGGCGTTGCTTTAATCTAACTTCTCTTTGTTACTGAGATGTGTTTGTCTCTGTTTATCAGTCCTAGTCTCCTTGCTCTAATTTCTCACCTTTGTTCAGCTTTGCTATCCTTAAAGTCCCAAACATTTGATGTTAAAAAATAATAATAAGTGGTTCAGTTGAGTAAGAAAACAAGCCTTGCTGTGCTTGGGCTCTGCCCCCATTTCCTCTCTAATGTTGCTGATTTCTGTCTCTTCTGTCTCCAAGACAGTCCATGCTGGAATGCCCTAGAATGAGTGTGCTTAATTAGTAATCGAAGAATTTAAGTTAGGCTAATGCACAGGGAGGAAAACATATGCTAGATGTTTGTTAGCATGTTAGTAGATGTTCAGAGATAATTGTATTTAAAACATGACTTATACTGCTTGGAAAGAGAGCTCAACCATTAAGAGTGCATGCTGCTCTTGCAGAGGACTGAAGGTGAGTTCCCAGCACCCGCATTGGGTGGATCACACTGTCTGAAATTCCAGTTTCAAAAGATCTGATACTCTCTTCTGGATACGACTCACATCTACACACACACACACACACACACACACACACACACACACACACACACACACACACCCATGCACTCACACATGCACATGCACACAAATACAAGTAAAACATAAATCTTTAAAGATAATACTTTATACACAGATTTTAATACAAAATCACTCACCCTGAGAGCACTGTCCCCTTTGATCCAGGAGACAGATGGCTTGGGGTTGCCCATTGTCGTGCATGGTAGAACAGCTTTTAATCCCTCTATTATTTTTACATTAATGGGAGGGCGAGTTATTTTAGGTTCTGTGGGGAAAATGAAAGTAAAACATAAAAAGACAATGTATCTACATTAAAATTGCAGTTTTAGCTTTCTAGTTAATTCTTGGCATTCATTTCAAGAATCGTCTTAGGGATCTTAAATTGCCAAAGGCTAAGACAGGTCCTTAGTAGGTATCAAATTCAAATCAATCATAAAGGATGGTTAGATCTGTTTTGTTAAAACCTCTATTTTCTTTTGCAAAACTCATATTTATAAAGCATAATAGATATCTGAGACTTCTTAGGACTTCTTATTTTAAATGACACTTAATAAAAAGTTCATCACTATAAACTGTCCCCATAATAATTCAACATTCTGTAATTTATACCAATAGATGTGAAACAGTTGAAAATTGTTCTAAGTTAATCATACTATTTTGAATTACAATCTACTTTCCCTTTAGTTTCCATATATTTATTTATTTTTTTGGTTTTTCAAGACAGGGTTTCTCTGTGTAGCTTTGGAGCCTATCCTGGCACTCTCTCTGGAGACCAGGCTAGCCTCAAACTCACAGAGATCTGCCTGCCTCTGCCTCCCGAGTGCTGGCATTAAAGGCATGTGCCACCAATGCCCAGAAGTTTCCTTAATTTTTATTTATTTTTTTTCTGAGATAAGGTCTCATTGCATAGCTCTGGATGAACCCTGACTGATCTCAAATTTGAGGTGATCCTTCTGTCTCTGCCTCCCAAGTGCTAAGACTACATTTGTTTACAGGTCTAGTTCCCATCTTCCTTTGACTATTAAACGTGTTGTTTCCTCTAGAGATCATGCTAGTAACTAGAAAAAAACTCTGGCACAGTTTGGAGACTCAAAATTCTACAAAGAGGCTGTCCTGCTAGTTTCAGGACAGCCTCCAAAGCCACAGAGAAACCCTGTTTCAAAAAGCAAAAACAAACAAAAATTCTATAAAGAGAAGTTTACTGTTCTGCCAACACTCAGGCCAATGTTTCTGAAGAAGTAGATTCTAATTGGTTCATTTCTATTCTCTACTATGACGCTTTGAAAAGACGTTATTAAATCTAACATGTAGATCTGAGAGGTTCAAATGCCTCCAAGCAATCAGAAAGTAACTAAGCTACCTCGTGTCCCTAGTGATCTTATACTGTAGATACAGAAGAGTCAGAAAGTAACTAAGCTACTTCATGTCCCAAGTGATCTTATACTGTAGATACAGAACAGAGAGATGTCTTTGTGGGACAAATTTCTAAGACACGCTATTTACTGCACCTCATCATTCCCTATCCTCTCTTCATCTCCCTCTGTGTGTGTGTGTGTGTGTGTGTGTGTGTGTGTGTGTGTGTGTGTGTAGGCGCGTTAGGCTACCTTGATAGAGATGAGCAAGGAATAAAGATTTCTCTTTTTCCTTATATGTGAGTATGTGGAAGTGCTGTGGAGCCTTTTGTGTCAATTTTCAGTCATATCTACAAAGATTAAATGCCTGCTAGGCTTTTTTTTTTTTTTTGAGACAGGGTTTTTCTGTGTAGCTTTGGAGCCTATCCTGGCACTCTCTCTGGAGACCAGGCTGGCCTCAAACTCACAGAGATCCTCCTGCCTCTGCCTCCCGAATGCTGGGATTAAAGGCGTGCGCCACCAACGCCCAGCCATGCCTGTTGGTTTTTAACCCAGGCATTTATTTTCCCTTACAGTTAATATGATTTTATATTGCAAAAGCACAAGACAGACTTAAAATATTATATAGGAAAATGTCAACCTTGGCCATTCTGCTGTATTCTAGAATTTATAGTTATGTTCTATATTCACAGTAGAGAACACTTCAACTTTAGCTACTTAGCACCTCAGCTATGAGTTGTATTCTTACACACTGTCTGCAAAACCTTGGTTTGGGAATTGACATTCTTATAACTGTCAAAGAGAAGTTTCCAACATTCCTTTCATTGGCTTCCATGAACAAGACCACCACAGTGAACCCGAGTCACAGATAATGTTTTATGTGGGGGATTTAAGGAACTGTCTGCTGTTTTGATGATTTAACTCCTGGCTAAGGAAAGAGCTGTCTTGGTCACCTGTGGAGTGGAATGTAAGGAGAATCTTTGGAAAACTAACTAAAACGTAAGCTAGGGTTCGTCAGAGTAGTCACGTGGAAGCCTCCTGTCAAGGGATCATGACTCATTGTTGAACACATCAGAAACTGTGTGGAGACAACTTTAAAGTTAGATGATACTCTTTGCTACTCACTCATCTTCACTTGAAGAGCACCACAGCTCTCCACAGCTCCTCCCACTCCATTATTGGCTATGCAGCAATAGACGCCATCATCACTGTCCTCCACACTCAGGATGGTGAGGAGCTGGCCATTCTCCCGGATGCTGTAGCGGGTATCAAACAGCCTGCAGGTCACAGAGCAACGTGGAGGAGGATCAGTGTACCATCAGTCCATCTGTGATTTTACGCGCGCGCGCGCGCACACACACACACACACACACACACACACACACACACAACCCTTTGATTAATGGATCAAATAGATGACCAGTTAGTGAGGAAGCAGGTTCAGGCTTAGAGAAAATGTGTGTTTTGCAGGACTGAATAGTCTCGTTTAGTACAGTAAAAATAAAGCTACTTTATATTCTGGTTTCTCTGGACTCTATAATAAAATCACCACTGAGTTGTACAAAACAGTTCTGAGGTGATGGCTGCTGCTAAGCACAAGTGTAACATTTACACAGCAGAGTGTGTGCTTGTGTGTGCTTGTGTGTGCTTGTATGTCATTCTGAACTGGCAAAGTAAGCAAGGCAGTCTGAGCAGCAAGTCCCAAAGATCTGCCAGTCTCTTTCCCCTTCGCAGACCCCACCTACAGGTGGGCTTACAAGCACCCACTACCACTACCACATTCAACTTTCATTTTGAGTGTGTATATTCTGGGGATTGAACTCAGGTCCCCCCAAGCCAGGAAAGCATACCATAACTAAGATGTATGAGTCTTATTGTAATATATATATATATTACATCAATAGCAGAGAGGTGAATATTCTTTTATTCATTAAATAAGTACTTTTCATAATTTTTACTTTCATTGCATTTTCTATTTCATGTGTGTGAGTGTTTTGCCTGTGTTATTTCTGTGCACTATATGCATGCCTGGTGCCTGCAGAAACCAGAAGAGGGTGTCAGGTCCCTTGGAACTAGAATACAGACCGTTGTGAGGAGCCACATATGGGTGCTGGGACTCAAACATGACTCTTCTGGAAGAGCAGCCAGTTTTCTTAACTGCTGAGGCAACTCTATCCCTTTTTATTCTAATACAATTTAATAATCATTAATATTGTAGCATGTTTTAATAAATGTGAATATGAGCAATGAGTTTATAATTAACTAAATAAAATGTAACAAAATCTTACTTTCATTTTGTTGAAGCCATGAATGACTGAATAAATAAATACTTTAAATAAAACCACACCAATTACCTTCGTGTTTGTAAGTTGTACTCATTCTATATGCTTTATAAATATATGTTAATTCTACAGAATAGAAGGTTTCATTAGGACATTTCCACACATGCATATAGTAAACTTTGACTACCCTAATTATTCTTTCTCCCTTCCCTCCATCCTCTCCAAAACTCTAGTACTTCCCCTTTTTATAAACAAATAACTTTTAGATGTTTAACAAATGACAGACACTTTTATGCCTCTGGTTTTGGATGCACAAGGAAATAAAAGATCTTCAAACTATAAAAACATGTTGTGTGTGCTTGTATGTATATACATACATAGTCTATTTAATTACACATAATTGTCCACTAAGAAGGGACTCAGGGCAACAGGAAAAAGTTGAAGAGGAATCATCAACCTAGAACCAAGTGGCTTCTGTTGTTGGATTTTTTTTATTGTTTGTTTTATAGTAGGACTCTCAAATGTATATGGTACACTGAACGACTGTCTCCAAAGAGCCATCATGTCTTAATCACCAGAGCCTGTGATACACTGCAAGAAGGATTTGAACACATTAAGAGTATTAAAATGGAACATTCTAGATTACTCACATGGGCCAAATGTAGTAACTAAAATCGTTTTAAGGTGGAAAAGAGAGGAAGAAGTGTCAGAGGTGGAGGTCTGACATGCAGAAGTCAGAGTCATGTGACTGCTATCTTTATGAATAAGGGAAGGGACCAGAGGACATAGGTGGCCTGTGGGCTCTTAAATGTGCAATCCAATTGTGTCGTGGAGCTTCCGGGAAGAGCTGGAGCTGCCAGTGCTTTGACTTTAGCTCAGTGAGATTGCCTCACACTCTGGAACTGTAAACTCATACGGTGTGTTGTTTGAAGCCACTGCATTTGTGACCACTTGTGACAGTCTCAGTAGAAAATAAATACAATAAATACATGTGTTGGTACCCAGAATCATGGTGCTGCTAGGACAAACACCTGAAAAAGGGGGTGTGGCTTTGCAGTGAACTGGCAGAGTTTTGATCAGCACGATAAGAAATAAAACAAAAACTGCTTAGGTTCTTTTTTTTTTTTTTTGAGACTGTCAGCTGAAACTTGTTAATGATAGCTACTGGGGTCTTGGAAAGAACTAAGAGACATGGGGGGGGGAGCTAAGTCATCTTAGAGAATGCCTAAATAATCACTAGCTGACCACTGACTTGAATGGACTGTTGATAAAAATACAAATGTTAAGACCTCTACTTGTGGACAAGGGACATTACCTGGAAAAAAAATGAAAGAAAGGTGATCCTTGCCAGAGTGGCAGAGAGCTCAGCCAAATGATGCCTCACACTTATTTCAAATTCAGATCTTATGAATAGTGGACTCATAGTTAGCCAGGGAAATTTCCAGACACACTGTTGAAGCTACAACCCGGTGTTCCTTGGAGTTTGTAGTAAGATTCAAGAGGAGGAAGGTGACTTGGAGAACTGCTGGGTCTGGAGAGCTGGCTCTGTGGTTAAGAACACTGGCTCTTGCAGGGGTCCTAGATTTGGGTTTGGTTCCCAGAAGCCACAACCATCTGTAACTCCAATTCTAGGGAACTCAGCACCCTCTTCTGGGCACCATGCATGCATGAAATGTACATACATGAAGAAAAAAATACTCATACATGTAAAATAAAACTAAAATAAATCTTCCAAAGACTGCCCATAAGTAAGAAGAAAAAATACTGCCAAGTAAAAATAGAAATTTAGGCTTCATGAGTTGGAAAATCTCAATCTATCCAAATTTCAAAGACTGTTAAGGATGTTTTGTGGTGTTTGAACTGTGTGTGTGAGCTGTTCAGTCCTGGAGCTTCTGAGAGAGCTTGCCTGGCAGAGGTCATTTAGGCTGTGGTGCACAGTGATGCCCACAGCACTGCAGAGTGTGTGTCACAGAAGGAAGCATGGCATTTCAGTCAGAGGCAGTGAAAATATGCCTGTCCTTTCTCCCCTTCCAGTTCATGGGTCCTCATCTATGAGCAGCTGTTTAAGGACGTAGATGAAATGTGACATTTCCCCCAGAATTCATGTGTGGAAGCCGAGTGTCAGATGTGATGGTTTTTGAGATGTGGTCTTTGGAAGGTGATTGTGTCTCGTGTGACTGGATCTCTTGTGAGTGTGACTTGTGTCCCTACAGAGGAGAACCAAGAGTGTTCCTTCATGCCCTTCCCTCACACGAAGAGATAGTGGAAAAGTGGCTATCTGTGGACACAAAAGGAAGCCCTCCTCCCCTGACCATACCAGGAATCTGCTGGCTCCTCAGACTTGGAACTCCTCAGCCCCCTGTCTTAACAGTTCCGTCACAGTAGCTCATGTGGACTGAGAGCATTCAGCTTCAACACTGTCTGCTAGGGCGCCCTCCAGATTACTTTGTTCTAGATTTTCTTAGAGTATTCTGAGATAGCTATTGGGATAAGGGGAGAAAAGTAGACCCTTTATCTGACAAATGGGCCTTTTATCCATTTTGAGACTCTGTCTCATTTTGAAAGAAAAAGATGATAGTGACACAGAAGTCAGATTCTTGGACAGTAGATTTCATAGTTTGGGGACACGGAGGGGGCGACAGGCTGGTCCCTCAGCTCCTCTGTATGTCCTGGAATACATGTCTTCATACCTGGAATACCATGGTACTTCCTGGTTCTGTTAAGTTCCATGATTCTCATCTGGCATTCCCCATGTCAGAGGAATCAGTATTTTGCCCTGAACTTCAGATCTTCCAATTACGAAATGAGTATTACATATTCTAGAAGGTGACTTTCAGTGCCACCAACAGAATTTCCATGGGTGAGAAACTATGAGGCAGAGCCGGAATCCTTAGCACGATGACACACAGTACTCACTTAATGAGGATTTTATTTCTGGTCCAAGAAATCTCAGGCTGAGGGTAGGATTCCACAGCACACATGAAAGTTGCCACTTCTTCAACTAAGGCATCTACAGTTTCGAGAGGTGTGGTGATGACAGGAGCTAAAAAGAGCAAAAACAAGGGAGAACTTTCCAGAATGTTATTTATTACTTGCCCTTTAGCAGCCTGAAGCCATGATGTACCTGAGTGAGTATTACTGTTCAAAAGCCCACTAGACATGGGATGACCTGTCTGTAAAGTCAGTGTGCTCCAGAGGAGATAGGAGACTCTTGGATGACTAGACTAGCTGAGTCAGCAAGAGACCCTGTTGTCAGCAAATATATTGGAGAACAGCCAAGGGGGACATGTCATGTCAGTCTCTGACCTCCACACATATGTATGTACAGATGTGAAAACATACACCAAGCCACACAAAAATACACTAGCAAAAAAAATTAAAAGAAATGAAAATGTAAGTTAAAACTATACTCATTGGAGTGGCTATAAAGATAAAGAAAAATAACATGCATTGGTGAGGATGTTGAGAAACCACTGAGGAAAAGAGAACGGAGGTTCCCCAGAAAGAAATCAAAAGAGAATCATGATCAACAGTTCCACTTCCGGGTACATATTCAAGAGAGCCGAAAGTAAGGACTCAGATACTCAAATATTTCCACCTCTCTACTCATAGAAATATTACTCATAATAGCCAAAAGATGGAAGCCGCCTAAGTGCCCACCAACAGATGGATAAACAAAATTAACATACATACACAATGGAATATTATTTGGCAATGAAAGTAAGGGAAGTGTTATATTCTTTGACACGGAGGAAACATAAAAAAAATACAAATCAAGTATATGGAAATAGTCACAGAGGATCAATGTTTTAAGTTCTATTCCTAAAGCATGTGCAATTCACAAACCTACAGAGCAAAAAACACATTGGTCATTGTCTAGGAATGGGTGAGAAGGAAGGTGTTATCCTATGGAGCTGGATTACAGGTAGTTGTGAGCCTCCCAACATGGTCCTGGAGACAGGACCCAGGTCCTCTAGAAGAGCAGAAAGTGCTCTTTAACTGCTGAGCTAACTCCAGCCCCACAAAAAAGTTAAGTCATTATAGATACCCTAGAATCTATTACTAATGAATGATCACACACATAGAAAGGTATGTTAGATGACAGAGGACATGAAACTGATGAATTGCACTTAGCTTCACTAGTGGACTGAATCGAGGTGAGGGCATGGCTGGTTTTGCCTTCTTGCAATGGTCTGCTGGAGCTGTTTTGCACTGGCAAGAATGAATTGTTCTTTTTTAATTTTCAAGGAACTTTGCTAATAATTGTTAAATAGCTATTATTAATAAACTAAATTGCACAAATTTAGGTTAGGTTATATAAATTCTTAATACAAGTAATATTTAAAAAAATCAATTACTTCTAGGCCACAGAGATGGCTTGAGTTTAGTCCCCTAGGACCTATGTGAAATAGCTGGATACAGAAGCACATGCCCATAATCCCAGCCTTTGGAAGGCAGAGAAGGGAGGGTCCCCAAGGCTTACTGTCCAGCCAGTCTAGCTGAATTAGTGAGCTGCAGATTTAGTATGTGTCAAACCTTAAGGTGGAGAGTAGCCAAGAAAGACATCTGGACCCCCCCCCCACACACACACACACAAACCCATTGATTCCTTTTAACTACACTCTGTCTATGCTCTGGGGGTGCTTTGATGATGAAAACTGCCTACAACAGCACTGTGCATGCTGATGCTTGACTGTCTTCAGGATTTGTTGGTGGTTTAAAACTGCATGTTGTTTTGTTTTTTTTCTCAGAAAGTTGGATGTTAACTATACTTCAGAACACTGATAAACAGGAGCAACACAGAAGAAAACATGGCATGTCAACAGTCTTGGAGGCAGAAATAGCTTTTTCTGTTTTGTCTGCTTAATCTTTTCAAAATAAATCTAACTACCATGTGCTGTTTTTTTTTTTTTAAATGAATTTATCCATCAGTTTCTTTCTCTCTACACAGACATAGACATGTGGCAGTGATGGTGATACAACACACTGCTGGGAACAGTTAAGATCAAAGAAGTAAGAGACAGTCCTCAAAATCTTGAAAATCTTAGACATGGAGAAATACACGAAGCATCACTGAGAGCAGTCTCAACATCTTCCCACAAAGTTCAATGTTGTGACAGTCTTGGGCGATGCCTGACTCTAGTTTCAGTAACAACAGTACCTGAAATTGTTCAATAACTTTCTATGTGCTCCATCTCAGACCTCATCTTCATTATCTTATTTATCAATAAAACAAGTAAATACAATTAAGCATTTGCAAACTAGACATCATTTCTGTAACCATCCCAAAGGTAGGTAGCAATAGAGATGAATTTCAGGGTTAAGGGTGGCTTAGAGGCCTGTGTCTTGGGATTGGAGAGGTGACTCAGTGGATGAAGTCCTTGATGCTGAAGCATGAGGATCTGAGTTCAGATGCCCAGAGAACACATACAGCTGAGCTTTGGAGCAGGTGTGTCTGTAATACCAGTGCTCTTATGGGAGAATGGGAGCTGGAGACAGGCATCCCTGGAAGCTGGCAGGCCAGTTAACCTGCATTACATAGTGACAAACAAGAGTTGGCCACACACATGCCTTGGCTTATACATACCTACACTTACACATGAAAGCAAAACACATACACACACACACACACACACACACAGAGAGAGAGAGAGAGAGAGAGAGAGAGAGAGAGAGAGAGAGAGAGAGAGAGAGCCTATCTCTGAGCTCTAGGATGGACTGTGTTTTATAGTCATGGTTATACACAGAAAATGGGAGGGAGGTTTAAATCAACTTTAATTTCTAGGGGCAGAACATAATTTTTCAGATCCATTTTGCCCATCTTCCAAAGCTATCCAAATTCCCTTTGAAGTGTTCACTGACACCATCGCATAGCTGTACCAAAGGATATGGTCAACTCAGCAGGTCATTTCCTGTTTGCTCTCCTCCTTACCCAGCTTTTATCCCAGCCAGAGCCTGTGTAAACCGGACCTCTGTCTTTTCTCCAGATCCAAGAACCACACAAACAACAAACACATGAGGATGAACACAGCAGTTTTCAGATCCACAGAAAATTTGCCTTGAAGTCTAGCTCTGGATTAGTAGGCCATAATACTACCTTCCTTTGTCTTTTGTGGGCTTTAGAACATGATGACGACATGCTGACTTCTGGCTGAACTATTACTAATGAACTTGCCCAAATGAAAAGAAGTTAGGCGCTTTGTTTTGGATTTTTTGTTTTGTTTTGTCTTTTTTTTTTTTTTAAGAAAATTGGTAACGAGGAGGTCACACCTTTAATCCCAACATTCAGAGGCAGAGGCAGGTGGATCTCTGAGTTTAAGGCCAGCCTGGTCTACAAAGTGAGTTCCAGGACAACCGGAGCTGTTACATAAGAAACACTGTCTTGGAAAAACAAACAAAATTTGGTGCTGAGACCTTAAAAAAATCATGTTTTTTCTAAGTATTATTAATATAGCATTGGTTTTTTATTTCAGCCTAAGAAAACACTTTGATATTGGAAATTTTCAGATCCTCCAAAGAGAATATTGATCATTATCTGACATATCCTAATAGCTGGCTCATTAAATTGCAGTGAAATGATGTCTTTGTAACTTATAAGATTAACCTAGAATGACAATCAACCATTTTCAAAGCTGTGTCACTAATTCCTCCAAACTGAATGTATTCTCGATTACTCTCATCTGGGATGAACTTTCACAGGAGTTCTGTGTAGCCTTTGAGAATGTCTGAGTTTGCATCCCTTGGAGGTGTTCCTTTGGGTTAAACCACCATCCATCCTGTAAGGACACAAGTAAAGCATGCTACCCGTTACCCTCACAGCCACTATGGGGAACTCTAAGTGTGACACTGGGTAAAGGCATTGTCTCATGCACAAGGAAACTGAGGAAGGGACTATGGGCTTTCTTTAAAGATATGCCTCAAGACGCTGGGGACAGGAAAGGGGAAATTTTTTTATACACATTTTTTATTTAAATTAGAAACAATCTCATTTTACATATCTATCCCAGTTCCCTCTCCCTCCCATTCTCTCATGCTCCCCACCAACCTCCAATCTCATCCCATCCCCCTTCTGCTCACCAGGGAGGGTGAGGCCTTCCATAGGGGAGCATCGATGTCTGCCACATCATTTGGGGCAGGGCCTAGGCCCTCCCCAGGAAGGGGGGAATTAATTGTAAAACCTGCTGGAGCCTTCAATATCCTTGCTTCACATTCTTCATTGCCTCACCTCTAGCATCCAATGTTTTTTACATAACCCCAGAATCTGTAGCCTCAAATTCTTCAGCTGCTTGGCCCCTGAAAAGCACTGATCCTGAATTAATCTGAACACCTGCCCTTACTACTCCTATGTTCATATAGCACTTGCTGGACATGGAATCACTCTTAAACTGCTGATGGCAGCCCTGCCATGCTGCCTGCACACTCGACTGGGCCTGTGCACTTCTGTCATCTTCCTGAATAGACCAGTCCTTGGATGTTCCCTTCACCTCTCCTCAGTGGCCTCGAGTCCTACTTCACCTTCAGGGACATTTTGAAATTTCTACTCTTTCCTTCCCCCAGTGAGAGCAATGACGTAAAGCAACTGTGTTTTCCTACACATACAATGAGTAACTGACAATGAGTGTCAGTGTGAAACGCTCGCCCAGGACTTGCTGTCCTGGATGGACTTCACAACAGCTGTGTCAGCTCTGGCTGACTCATAAGTAGCATCTGTGAATCCTATCCCTGCATGCATGTGATTTAAAAGACAGGGCTCCTCCACTCTATCTAAAGAGAAACTAGACATACAACACTCTAGGTTTGGTAGTAAGTGGGTGGTTTTGAAGGTGTTTTGTGAGGAAATTCTTATGTGTATTAAATAACTCCAGTTCTGCCCACATGAACTTCGGCTCTTAATGGAAGTTTAATGCCCCACCATGTGTTTAACACACCCTGATAAATCAGCAAGTGCTCTTGAAACTTCTGGCTGAGGAAATTCAACAAAATTTTTGTCTGCTTTCATCCATGATGATCTCTAAAAGTCTTCTACTTGAGGTGAGGAAATTAAACTCACTTAAAAAAAAAACTCTCTTGTAAAATAAGATTGTTTCTAATTTAAATTAAAGTTTATTTTAAAAAAACTCACCAGCTGACATGATCTAGAAAGACAAAGACCTTCTTTTGGGGTTGGAATGTTAGGCATTTCAATTAATTTAAAGCCAAAATAGTAAACTCCAAAGGCAGATAATCTTATGAAGAAAACTGTACAGAGAGGTAGACATGATTCCTGTGAATATCCTCTCCAGCCTTAAACAGCCCCCTTTAAGTACATTCGTTCTGAAGCTGCCTGCTATAATGAACAAGATGGTTTATTCTGTGAGACATTACTGCGCAGACCCCTTGATTTCAGCCTAGACAAATACACCCTCTAACAGACTGTTCTCACTATTACCTTCTGCCAGCTACAGAGAACTGCCGTGAGTGTAAGCAAGTTCAGCCAGGACATCTTCATCATTTTCACTGATAATTAAAAGAACATACATTCAAAAAGCTCTTTTCTATCAAAATATGTCACATATTACAACATCAAAATCTTAAAGATTTCATGTTCTGAGATGTTTATTTGCTTTCAGAATTCATCTTGTACATTGAACAGATGTCTAATCACCTAGGGGTGGTGTGTGATGATAAGGCCAACGTACACCCAGTGCTAATTGCAATTTTTACAATTAACAGAGTAGGCTAAGAAACTATTGTTTTAGCTTTAAAATTTGCAGCAAATACACTGTAATAAAGCCAAATTGGAAGGATGCTCTGGTGGTTTTCTTTAAAAGTGGGATATTTGGTATCCTGTATGCCACCCTGTGCCACGATTCTGAAGTTTGCAAAGCAGAAACGAATGATCATATGCATTTGAATGAAGGTTTAGGACGACCGGGAACTTAAAAAAAAGGGGGGGAGTCATTTTTATCCAGAATCTAAGTGCATATACAAATACAGAGGTGTTTTGTGGGGTTTTGTTGTTATTGTTTTGTGCGCCCAGATTTGATTTAAAACTTCAAAGCAGCTGCCTTATATACATGTTGGGGTTTAACTATGTCCTCCTCACTTGTGGGTAACTGCTTATTAAACATTAAAATGAGTAACACTTATTAGGATCCATAGGTCCAAACAACCAGGTGTTATTCTACCGGACATCAGTGGTCAGATCAGGAAGTATTAGAATAACCCACAGCCAATGTTAAGTCCTTTTTGGCTATTATTAGCTATTTTTTAAAGGTCCAGATTCTTTTATTATCTAAAGGTGCCTTAGAGTATCATTGGGATCTAAATGATTTAGTACATTAGAAGATACCAACCACTTTACCCAAATAAAATGGAGAAAGAGAAGCAAGTAAACAAACAAGAAAATATATCTGTGTAATCAGATAGGAAAGAATGTTGTCTGTTACTTACATGGGATCCTTGACTTTTTGCCTCCAGAACTGTAAGTGAACTACAAAACCTAAAGATGTGTTTCCCGTGTACATATAAATGTCACCTTCACTAATTATTCAAGATAAACATCTTCAGTGCTTTGGCAACCCGGTCGAAATGGGAAATAATTCATCTGACTAAAACCTAGTATTCTTGATAACTCTGTCATGAGACACTTAACACAATACTATTTGATGGCATTTAGTCTACTTCTTCATGCCTTGCTTTGAGAAGATTTCGGCAAAGACCCAGTAGCTTTGCAAATCATGCATTTTCCATTCTTCCTGGTTCTAACTTTCATAATACTCTGGCCAGAACCCACAGCACTGTGGCCAGTCTTGCTGCTGCAACAGGTGTTTGTCACTTTCTTAAGTTGCTTTCCCCCTTAGGTGGTGTTATTTCCGGTACATTCCAAAGCACTGAAAAAAACTAGTGCAATCTCTGGTCAAACCCAAATCACAGCACCAGCAGCAAAAGTACAGAGAGTCAGATGTCTCCAGGCTTTTATTTTATAGGCACTTTCTGTGAGTCTTTCCCTAGGTCTGATTTCTAGTTACTAAAATGTTCATTAACAGTATGATAAAAGCTAAAACTGAAAATAGAAATGGCTTTTACTTTGGAGCAAAACACTCTGGATATCTGGAAGTGGGGTGGATTATATTCTTGGCAAATCCAGCATGGAATGGTTTTTATCACCCGTGTAGACCACCCCAACATTTGACATACACAGAACAGACCTCCATAATTCACAGTCTACCTGGCTACATCTCCCTAGAAGAGAGGGCTCTGCGAGCATCATGCTGTTTTTAACCGTAGAACTTAGGAGACAACCATCATGGAAGAACTAACCACGCTACTGTATAACGCTCTTCTTTTTCTTCATACATTCCACCCCCACATCACCCAAACACACCGCAGTAGGAATCAGCCACCATGAAGCTCACACTCACTTTAGGCAAGATTGTGCATACCAACCTTTTGGAAGTTTCTCAGTCCCACTGAAGGCAACCAGGGTGAGAATCTGTAGCAGTGGAATGTTGACGAGCTCTCTCATGGTTAATCCAAGCTCAGAGCAAAGGTTGCTTCTGGACTATTGAGGAAAATTCTCCGTGGTTTACATTTTAAAGCGTGGTTTGTTACAATAGTGTCGTCTGCGAATGACTGTTTGTGTCTGCAGCGCCACAGGCTCTAAGTATAATCAGGAATCCTCAGACCTGACTGTGATGATGGACATGGCCAGCTGGGAGTATCCACTTAGGCCAGTAACGCAAGTGGAGGGCTGGAGGAACAAGGGAAAGAAAATCCCTTCAGAATCCCTTTTAAGACAGTGGCAGAAGGACAATACCAGATGCCATTTGCGGCCACTACAGTTTTCCCTGAGCTATAGCGTCCCTAATGTGATTTTGGCCCACCACTTCTGCACTCAAATGAGGAATCCGGATCAAACTAATTTTGACTCCTCTCCATCTCTCTCCCGACCCCCATCCCACAGCCAACCCAGCCCAGCTGCTCCAAATTTCACCCACTCCACACTTGAATTCTCCTGTTGTCCTTTGTAGCAGTATGATGTGACCTAACCTGGTTCTTACAGCCCTTAGAGTCTTGTACCTTCTGCTTTGGGTATCTTATCATGAGCTATCCCCTTCTTGCCCCAAAGCCTGTAATGATTTCTTGTCATGTAAAAATGCATGCAAGCCTTCCTGCTGTGATTAAGGGGGACTTGCTGGCATTTGGTTGTCTCTCTAGCCTCATCTTTGATGGTCCATGCTTCTTATTATTCTGTATCACATTTGAGGACCTGTTAATATTGCCCCGTTCCCAAGCAACCCTAACTGACTAGAAGGCAGACATCTTCTGAAACCTGTGGGAGACTGCATGAAACCACACCAACACCCAACAGAATGAAGGCAGGATGCACCAGTTTTCCCAGTAAGACACAATCTTAAGAAGGTACAGAAGTAATGCACACAAAAGCATTCGGTATGACCAAAGAGCTGACAACAACAACAGAAACCTAAGGAAGAACAGGCTTCAGCTTCAAGTTTGAGGTGTAGCCCATCACAGTGGGGAAGTCCCCCTTTCTGCAAGGGGATGAATTCTAATACATTCCACCCAAGCTTGAGGCACATTGCATCTGTACTCAGGAAGCCGGGACAGCTGAAGGTTGTCGTTCAACTTGCTTTCTTCTTTCTCCCTCTGAATTTAGTCCAGGGCCACAGCCCATAGAATGCTATCACCCACTTTCAGGGTGGCTCTTCCCTTGATGCTTACCTTTTCTGGACACACCTTTGGAGACATGTTCAGATGTGTGTCTCCTAGGTGACTACAAGTCAGGTCAAGATGGCAATGAAAATTAACCATCACATCTGCAAAATCATAGTAATGAGGGCAAAGCTCCAATCCCCCAATTCCCACTTTGTAAAGCAATCACTGTACACATCCTTTGTAAAGAAAAACACAGTAAATGATATAGACAGGCACATAATGAAAAATTAACCTCACACTTTCCCTATCTACTCTGTTCTCCTCCCAAATGATAGTAAGTGCTTTTTTAATTTTTTTATTATTTTAATTACTCATATTTACATATCCATCCCCCCATTCCCTCCCCTCCTCCCATGTTCCCCACCCAACACACCCTAACCCACCTCCCGACTCTTCTCCAGGGATAGTGAGGCCCTCTACCAAGGATCTTCAAAATCTGTCATATTGTTTGGGGGAGGGTCTAGACCCTCCAAGAGGATTTGGTTTGGTCCAATGCTGTTTCCCCAGCTTTATGACTAGGGTCTCCATTCTATCAGTAGGTCAGGTCCACTGTTTCTGCAGATCTCTCCATTCCCGTCTTGGCTCCTTTGCTCAACCCTCCTCCCTCTCCACAACTGAATTCCAGTAGTATGGTTCAGTGCTTAACTATGGGTGTCTGCTTCTGCTTTGAACAGCAACTGATGAAAACTCTCCTTCCTCTCCCTGCCCCTGGGTTCCAATTTTGTCAGGGGTTCTTGTCCCCATCCCCTTCTTTGAGGGACTATGCAATCTTCTCTTGGGGTCCTCCTTATTTCCTAGCTCCTCTGGCAGTGTGGAATGTAGGCTAGTGATCCTTTGCTCTATGTCTAAAAAATAAAAAATGAGTGAGTATATACCATGTTTATCTTTTTGTGACTGGGTTACCTCACTGAGGATGGTTTCTTCTAGTTCCATCCATTTGCCTGCAAATGTCAAGATTCCATTGTTTTTTTTTTTCCCCCGCTGAGTAGTACTCCATTGTGTAAATATACCACATTTTCTCTATCCATTCTTCAGTTGAGGGGCACGCAGGTTGTTTCCAGTTTCTGACTATTACAAATAATGCTGCTATGATAGTAAGTGCTGATAACGAGTGTTGGCAAAACTGTGGAGAAGAAAGAACTCTCACACATTATTGGTAGGAATCTAAATCAGAGACATACTGGAAAAATATAATGGGAATTACCTGACAACTAAAAGTAGAATTAGCATATGATCAAGCAACCTGCCTTCTTAGTTATAACCAAAGAAAGTAAAATAATTGACATGTCTAAGAGATATTTGCCTATGCCAATTACAATACTATTCGCAACAGTAAAAATAGGAAATGATCTGAAGCTAAGTGTCCATTGGTGTGTGAATGGAGAAAGAAAATGCTGTATATACACAACAGGTATATATATACACAGGCCTCAGAGAAGGAGATTCTGCTATTCATAATATGGGTGAACCTGGAAGGCATGAGGATAAGTGATGCAAGTCAGGCTAAAACAGATACTGTGTGATCTCTCTTATATGTCGAATATAAAAAAAAATCAATCTTATAGAAGGGGTTTATCAGAGGCAAGAGGAGAGATGGGGAAAGATGATGATTTTTTAAAAAGCTACATATTTTTTGTTAGTCTAGAAGGGTGGGCTTTTGTGATCTATTATTCTGTGTAGGAACCACACTTAATTTAATGTATGGCTTTAAAATTGCTGATATATCTTTAATGTGCTTGCTGCCTAAAATCTGGTATCTTGATGAGGTGTTATTCATGTTAACTAGCTTGATTGGATCTTTCTGCAATGTGTACATAAGTCAAAAGTGTTCTTCATACATAAACACGAAACAAATAAATATTGTTGAACAAATAAATAGCATAGGGTATGAGGACATGAGCTAGTGCATGAATCTAGGCACATCCCGGAGAGTAGGAAGGGGTGGGGGATGCTAGCAGCCCTGGAGGAAGAAGTTGTTTGGAAACATAAATTGTCAAACATTTGTTGTAGGGATGTATTTTGGAGGATCCTGTAAAAATGAAGAAGAAAAAGGACTGAGTAGACAGGATGTCCCATGTCTCAGAGAAGGCAGGAGGAGCTGGACCTTTGACACAACATCTTGTCACAAAAATTGCTGAGGAAGCAGAGTAGAGAGATGGCTGAGCAGTCAGGAGCACTTGTTTTGCAATGAACCTAGGTTCAGTTCCCAACATTCACATCAGGCAGCTCACGACCATATATAACTCAGGTTCTGGGGAATCCAATGCCCTCTTCTGGCCTCTATGGGCACTTGCACACACATGGCATACAGACACACACCCAGGCAAGCACACATACATGCAAAATAAATAAATAGTCTTAAAAGTGCCAAGGAAGACACGGATAGGAAGATACATAGGCAAGGTAGCAAAAAGCTTGTGGAGTCACCATCTGATAGCTGCTGCTGTTTCTATAAATTAGAAAGCTCAGTGTGAGAGTGTTTAAAGCTTTTGCCTCAGAGATTAGTGAAGCACACAGCTGAGGTCGTTGGCTTTAAATTTAGACTGATACTCATTTACTCTGGCATGATACATTTTTTTCCACCAGGACTTGTCACCTTCCTAAATGACACACGTTGAATAGTTGGGTAGGTTTATTTGGGGAATTGAGAGAGGAAAAGGTATTAGTTGGTGATACATTAGCCCAAGGAAGCAGTGTTCCAGAAAAGAGAATGGAAAGTGATAGATGTTTGGAAGCAGAGCAAGGCATGTAGAACAGTCAATTAGCAGGTGATGACACAGGCAGAAAATGGACAGTGATCCGTACTTGTCCTCATCTTAGGATCACTTGATTGCAGTAAGAAACTGGAGAGGGGTCAAAGACAGCAAAGGGAGTAGCCCTGAGACATGGGTAAAGTTAGTGGTTTAGGTGTTACTCTGGGGAATGGTCTGGGGTTATTTTGTTTAAATGGAGGTAAACTCATTTCTCAGAGTAGAGACTAGCTCTGACGCCACTGGTATTCATGAGACCATGAGACTGTAGTAATGTGGCCAGAATGGATTTGAGACACATGGGAAGAGAAAAAGCAGGCAGATTTCATTAATAATAATCCAAGATGAATGTCAGATTTCCAACTTAAAGGAAAACATGGAATATTTAACTATGTTAACCAGAACTTCCAAGAGAAAAAGCAGCCACTGAAATGGATTTATTTATATCCTATATACATAAGTAGCTATTATGGTCAGTTGTGGACTGACTGAGAAATGCCTCCTATAGACATATATTTGAACACTTAATCTCCAGTTGTGAGAGCTAGTGGAACTACTTGGGGAGGTAATGCAACCTTCATGAGTGGAGCCTTATAGGAGGAAGTACATTACTGGGGGCTGCTGGCTTTGAGTATTTATGACCTCACCCCACTTCCTGTTTTCTCTCCCTCTTCCTTTCTCCTGCTCTTCCTGTTCCTCTCACTTTCTCCCTGTATCTCCCCTCCCCACCCTCCCTGCCTCTCTCGTCTTTACTTTCTCTTTCCCTCTCCTCCTTTCTCCCTCTGACCTTCTCCCTCTCCTTCCCTCCCTCCCACTCTCCCTCCATCCTTCTTTCTCTTCACCTCCTTTCTAATATCTCCTGAACCCCTGTTTTCAATGAGTAAAAATGTGGCCAGCCAGCTTTGTGTGCCTGCTGCCATTCCTACCACTATAGAGTCTATCCTTCTGGATTCATAAGCCAAAGCCACCCCTTTTCTTCTGTAAAGTGCTTTAGTCATGGTATTTCATCACAGCAACAGAAAAGTCACTAAAAGAGGGC